ATCGTGGCGCGCAGCCCGAGCGCGGCAAAGTGGCCGGCGGGCAGCACCCCGTCGAACGTCACGTTGGTCGCCGTCGCCCGCGCGGCCCACCCCGCCGCATCGAGCACCAGCACGTCCGACGCGGACGAAGGCAGCGTCACCGTCAGGCTGCTCGGCCCGTCCGCGCACCCCGCGGACAGCGTCACCGTTAGCGTCGTCGCTGACCCCGCCGCCGCTTGCGTTGGCGATACGCTTAGAGAGGCCCCGGGTGCCGGCGAGGGGAGAGGAGAGGCGCAGAGCGCGGGCGCTACTGTCAGCGCTACCAGCAGGGCGGGGAGTAGCGGCGTCGAGAGTGGCATCTTGGCACTTGGGGGGCTTGAAGCGTTGCTTGCAGCTACCCGCCTCACTCTTTGCTATTGTCGAGATGCCCTTTATATCTTGTGCCCTTTGCCTCCGCTAGTCTCTGTCCACTTTGCTCTCTCGCCCCAGGTTTCAATTTACTCCACGCCTGCGTTTACAACCGATGCCCGCGCTTCAAATTCATTCTGCAACTCTAGTGCTCCACAAAAGGACAAAACGCCTAATGACACACGCCCTCCCATCCGCCACCTTCGACGAGAACAACGCCTGCACCTTTATAATTAATACATCTCCAGTCTCTGTGTGTTTAAAACGGGCCCCGCGGTGCGGTAGACACACACCACCGACTTTACAAATAGAGAGTGAGAGAGAGAGAGAAAAAGAGAGTGAGAGAGAGAGAGAGAGACACACACACACACACGCACGCACACACACACACACACGCACGCACACACACACACACACACACACAAACATCTAAGTAGTGAAAGGGCGCCAGAAAATTAAATTTGAATCCGCCCCTACTCCTCCTCCAGTCTCTCGTAATTCTTTGAATCCTTTGCTTCACGCCTTGCAGGAAACCACCGACTTTACAAACACACACACACACACACGCAACTACTGAAAGGGTGCTTAGAACACTCGTCTTCCAAGCACCCATTTCGTCTGCCCACTCTCCTTTGCGCCCCAAAAACAAGCCCCACGCCCTCCTACACACCACCCCCGACCGATTCAATTTCCCTCTTTCCTGCCCCCCAATACATCTCCACCCGCAACTGTCTACTTGCCCCACACATCTGTTATTCCTCTTCCAATTGCGCCCCCTCTTCCCATTACGTCCGCCACCCCGCACGCAACCGCGCCCTTCCGTCCGCGCCCCGCCACCGATCGCCCCGTTCCGCCGCTGCTCCACCTGCTCCTCCGAGGCGGCGGCGCGGCCGTGTTCGGCATGCTCTACGGCAATTTGATCACCCTGCTCACCGGTGGTCCAGGGCCCAGGCTGGTGGTGCGGGAGTACACCGTGCCCCCGGCCGCGATGACGGAAGTCGGCCTCCAATTCGGAGACTCACTCGTGCATGGGATTGGACGTAGATGTCGTCCAGCACATCCACCTTTACGTTCCAGACCGACTCGCTAGGCGGAATGCACAGTGATAGCGCAGTTGATGCAGCCGGTCGATATGTTGGTGTATTTATACGAGATGGCTGCGTTCAACCTGCTAGGCTCTTGCCGGGGTCTACGTTTTTGATCAACCCGACGGTATGATGTCTCCTGTGCATTAAGATATGTAATTACAGTAGGCTGTTGTTGCAGCTGTTGGCAAGGACTCTTCTACGGTAAATATGTTTCAATCAGTGTTGCGTGTATCAAGCGGAAAGATCGCTGCTCGATGTAGAGTGGTTTGCGGCTTTGTGGTACTCCACCGAGTTTCTCGGATGCGATCTGTACAGCATGAAACCGCTAGCAGCTAGGGAAAATCAATTCTATTGAATTGAATTGGAGTGGCTGCGTTGATGTGCTGTGTAAATTTGTGATTTGGTACATGTTCTGGTGCTGCTCCCAAGGGGTGGTGCCTTGGAGCAATTGTGCGTTTGATACCACACAAAACATCGTGCTGGTGTGCTTTAATCGCAAACAAGTGCGAATCAATTTGCGATTTGTGATTTCCGGAGTCTTCCAATGTGGTAGGATTTGATGTGAAAGTTCGTACCGTACACACTGAGGAGCGCCGGCTGGGCACGCGCATGTCGAGAGAGGATAGGGATAGGTAGGGAGAGGGGGGTGGCACGTGTGCAAATAAGTCCTGCTCCCCGGACCTGCTCCCGGGACCCGCTGCCTCAGCCTGCTCCCTTATCGCACTTAGGCTTCCACGTGTAAGCTACGTTAAACAGAAAAGAGTTGTAAACTGATTCACACTTCGATAGCGGAGGCGTTTCACTGGCCAATCACCACGCCCTATGCTACGTTACGTACCTCTCTGCAATACCATTGGCGGGCTCTGCAAAACGCGCCAGCATCCCCGGCCCGCTTGATCCAGCCTCCCGCTCCCGCATACAACGCTCACGGCCCGATTGCACAACCTGTCCACAGCACTCTCCTTCCGCTTCCTCTCTCCTTCCCCAACAGCACCCTTCGCCCCCCGCCCGTCTCCTCACATCCATCCCCTCACATCCATCCCACTCCTTCTCTTTTTATCAAACCCGCCCACAATGCACGCTCTCCCACTCCCTCCCCCTCCCCCTCCACCGTCCCCCGCCCAAAAATCACCCCA